GTCCCTCTTTCTCCCAGGAGGCCTGTTTGAGTACGTGACCGCAGCCAACTACTTTGGTGAGATCGTGGAGTGGCTGGGCTTTGCGCTGGCCGGCTGGTCCATCCAGAGCAGTGCCTTCGCCCTCTTCACCTTCTGCAATCTATTCCGCAGAGCTGAGCATCACCACCGGTAAGCCCGCCTCTGCTGCGAGCCACGCGTCAGCTAAGCAAGTGCAAAGGGGGCAAGTATCTGCAAAGAAACCCAGCTCTGAGACGTCAGGGTCGGGGGTGGGGAGGGATGGGGGGTGGCAGGATGGAAGGAGCTTGCAATGGGCATCCAAAGGAGACAGGAAGGAGCCTACCTTCTGTGTGGCAGAGCTGGGTCTCTTCCCAGGCAGTGCGCCCACCGTGCGCAGCCACCGCCCAGCTGTCACTGGTGGCCCGTGGCCTGCTCTGAAAAAGACTTGGACACCCACTTCCTAATGTCATCCAGGGAAAATGAGTGACCCTGGGGAGAGCCCAGGGCCCGGCCAGCCTCGGGTCCATCCACCATGCCCAGGGCCACTGGGGCTCAGACCTGACGCAGCAGCCACCATGGGGACACCGGACGTTCACAACATCCGCATCCCACACAGCTGTCCCTATCACGTTGCCCAGGTGCTGCTTTGCCCAAGGGTCAGGGCCAACGTCCAGCAGGGGCCCCACAGCTGGAGCCGAAGGGCACTCATGGAGATCAAGGCCAGTGCCCGGTCCGGTGGCCGCCTTGTGAGCAGAGCCCTCCCTGCAGTCGGGAGAGGCCCTGAGGAGTGCGGGGCGCAGTGTCACTGGCCACTCCACACACCCGTAGGAACGCAGTGTCACTGGCCACTCCACACACCCGTAGGAACGATCCTTGATCACAGGGGTGGGCGTTCTCCCTGCGGCACGCAGGTGCCAAGCCCTCCAGTTCCGGGGACACAGCTGGACAACAAAACGCCTGGTCAGCAGAGGCCAGCCAGCCCTCCAGCTTGCAAGCAGACCAGTGTTAAGGGCAGACGGTAAAGGGCTACTCTGTCCACGGGCCAGGGGCTTTTACTGTGCCCCTTCTCCACCAGCCAGCAGTGGGCACGCTTCCATCCGGGGGTGCGGCGGAGAAGTCGCACACCCCATGGAGGTCTGTGGTGCTTGCTCACATCCGGACACCTTCCAGGGCGTCACCGAAGGCAGCACTGGCCCGTGCCCCGGCTAAGCGAGGACGCCTCACAGTGCTCGGCTGTTTGTGCGGCTGACCGCCATGTGGAACATGAACCCCAGGCACGCTCAGGACGCCATGTTTGACGGTGCGGCGGCACCCAGCGTAATAGTCATGGGAACACGGCGTGCACACATGAGGCTCTCCCCTATTCTACCCCCCACTAACCCTCACGCTTAAAGACACTGGCAGCTTGATGAGGGAGCTTCAGGGGTTCAACCCCGGCTCTGTTCCCCAGAAATGCTCCTGTTCACGCCAATTGGAGATCAACGGATTAATGGACCCCGAAAGACCCTGAGACCAGAAGAACGCGTGGTGCCTGGCCGCCACTGCCAACTGCCGCAAGAGCGGGCCGAAAATGTTGACCGAAACTGAAAATCCTAAGAGAGATGAGGCTTACCCGTTAGATAGCGACCAGTAAGGGTTGGTTGGTTGGTTTACCGGGACATTTTTAAGACATGATTTCTTGAGGTGGCTGTGTGAGTCCAGTTACTATATGAATGAAAAATGGCTCTATGTAATTATCAACAGGAGAATATTTTATTCCTGTTTAATAGCCACTGCCATGCTGTCTGTTCTGACTCACAGCGGCCTTCTAAGGCTTCTGAGTCTGTAAGTCGTGACGGAGGTAGACAGACTCTTCATCCTCCTGTGGGGTGGCTGTTGGGTCAAAACCACCAACCTTGCAATTTAAAACTCAGGCGCCACCAGGGACCCCTAGTCCTGAGGAAACACATGTGTCCTGTTTGGGTTAGCGTGTTGGGCTGGGTTGTCCACAGAAACGAAACCAGTGACACTCATCTTTGTGTAAGGACTTGTTATATCCAGAAGGCAGTGCGGCTCAGTCCAACTGAAGTCCCTGGTTCCACACAAGCTGGAGCCCACTGCAGACCCACCTCGCTGCAGACTGCTGAA